TTCCTCAAGTCACAAAAATGGTAAAATGAAGACCAAAATACCCTCTAGAAATCATGCGGTCCAACACAAAATGGAGGCGGTCTGACACTTGCTTTTGGAAAGCATGCGGTCCAATACAAAATAGGGGCGGTCCAACACTTTAGACATGCGGTCCAACACAAAACGGCGGGCAGTCCGGCACTTTTCTTCTAGAAAGCATGCGATCCGGCACAAAATAGAAGCAGTCCGACACAAAATGGGGGCGGTCCGCCACTATGGGTATTTTCGTCAAAATATGGTTTTTTTTTATTTGGGGGGGGGGTATCTGCTAGAAAAGTTCAATTTGGGGTAAAAGTCGATAAAGTTTTTTTTGATGGGGGTACGTTGTCTAAAAAATCTTATTTTGAGGGTTTTTTGTAATTTTCCCAAAAAAAATGTCCATAACATTCTAATTTAGTAACCATCTTTTGTTTCCTTTTATTCATATCGTGAATAAACCTTGAAAATTTATAATCGGGTGTGGTTTGTATAAGGTTTCAACCGTAATCAATCCAATTAGGGCGCACTTTCAAATTTTATCATGACATGTAATTTTGGTGAAAAAATTCTTAGGATTATCTGAAAATCGATTTTCATATCTAATTATAAAATTTTAAACCCTAAAAATGGTTGAAATCAAGTAGATCTATAAACAGATAAAAATCTTGAAAATGGACAGTTTAAATAATGTGCTTCAAGATGCACTATTTTTTAGACTCCAAAACTTTTTTTCTTTTTCGTATTCATACATGTTGATGTCGAGATGATCAATTAGTGAGTTTTCAACTACCTTTTCTATGGATTTTTGATGTGCATCTTTAATTGTACATTTTAAGGATGCAATCTTTTATAAACGTTTTCTTTTATAATGTGGAACCTAACTTTTACATAGTCAAATTTTGACAAGCATTGTGAAATTTTCTTTTGAAAATATATTTTTTTTCTTGATATTCCAAAATTATATGCTTTAACGAAAACTTAATATTGTTTATCTAAGTTCTTTAAAAAATTAGAGTAATTATCAGAAATATCCCTTTTAATTCAATTGTTGAAATATACACAATTTTTTTAAAATCTACCCCTCAACTATTTTTTCACAGTTTATTTTTCTAACCGAAAATGCGATTCACATACTTGTCAGGGCTATCAAGAGTCAGCTCGGACCTAACAGTTGACCAGGATATCACAGTCGTGGTCTGTCTTATTGTCCTGAAAGGACCATCATGGTTCCATTACAGTCGTGATAAAGTATGAACTATCATTGTTCGGTGATGGTTCTATCGGGGTGAAGGGACCATCAGGGTTTTATTAGAACCATGATGGTTTATGACGGTTATGTTAGAACTAGTTTTATCGTGGTTCTAGTAGACTGGTGATGCTGAGTTGATTGAATGAATTTCTTTTTAGGCACTAAGGAATTTCTCGAAGTTAGGAATTGATGTATATATATATATATATATATGGAAAATTCTTCCCAATGCCCATAGGCGAAAATGAACAATGATTTCGCCTACCCTCATCACCATCCAAACTTTATCGTGCGGTCACAATTGTCCGGTAGTGTTTCAATTTTCATATCTTTTCTACAAATCAAAATTACTTAAAATTTAAAGCGTGTGTACATCTTAGCGAGATCCACCTGATAAAAATATGAAAAAAAATAATTTGAAAAATATAAATAGGCTAAAATACTTTTTCGATGGTATTTTAATCAATTTATACTTTTCAAATTATTATTTTTTTCATATTTTTATTACGTGCGTCTCACTAAAATGTATACAAGCTCCAAATTTCAGATCATTCCAATTAGTAAAAAAAAAAAAAATGAAAAATGAAATACTACCGAATAACTGTGACCATGCGATGAAGTTTGGATGGTGATGAAAATAGGCGAAATTACTGTTCATTTTTGCTTATATATATAGGAAATACTAGCGTAGGTCAGTGGGCCTACAACTACATATGAGCCCAATGGCCTAGATTCAATATGAGTCGATCCAATGATCTCGAATGCATTTTGTATTAGTATTTTAATTTTTTTTTTAAATCCAAATAACTTGAAATTTTGGGCTTGTGTTCTTTAAAAATAGGAGAATTCAATAAAAAATATTAAAAAAATATATAGTGAGAAATAAATTAACCAAAATACCCTTAAAATATTTCAGGGATATTTTGATCAATTTATATCTTGCGAATTATTTTTCAAATATGTTTATTATGTGCACTTTGATAAGAATAATAGACTCCTAAAATTTAACGTGATTTAGATATATAGAAAAACAATTAAAATTCAAATACGAAATGAAGTTGTGTCCGTTAAATCAGCCCATATTCAATCTGGGCTGCTGGGTTCATATATAGCTGTAC